TTCAGGGTAAATAGTCCACCAAGGAATTGGGAACTCCATTGCAAAGAGTTAGGACAGGGTTGCAGATCTTGAGACAAATGGAAAAGAAGAAGAAGATCATCTTCGAAACGGCACATCATTCCGGAGACCACCGTCTACTACATTCACTATTTCTATTTACATTTCTGTTATCGTATATTATGATTTATGAATATATTATTAAGCGCTAAATTGTCACAGTTCTTTTCCATTTTTCATTTGTCTCATTACTGTGCCCATTCTTGTAACTATTTACTGCAGATCTTGAGAGCCAGTCTGGTGTAGTGGTTAGGAGCGTGGACTCTAATCTGAGAGGACCGGGTTTGATTCCCCACTCCTCCACTTGCAGCTGCTGGTGTGACCTTGGGTCAGTCACAAGTTCTGTCAGAGCTGTTCTCTCAAGGGCAGTTCTCGAGAGAGCTCTCTCAGCCCCACCTACCTCCCAGGGCGTCTGTTGTGGGGAGGGGAAGGGAAAGGAGATGGTAAGCCGCTCTGAGACTCCTTCGGGTAGCGAAGGGTGGAGTAGAAATCCAATCTCCTCCTCCTTCTCCTTCCCCTTCTATCCAGGGAAACCAAGTGGCAAACAACTGAGGCTGCAACCTCAGTTGTGACCCCACCATAGAGTTTCCGGGCCAGAGGCTAGCAGAGGTGGTTTGCCATTGCTGGCAGCCCTGGACTTCCTTGGGGGGGGGGGTAATGACCTGGGCCGACCCCGCTTAGCTGCCGAGATCTGGTGAGATCAGGCTAGCCCGGGATAATCCAGGTCAGGGCCGAGGTGGATTACAAAATATGAGAAGCGATTCAGTCATATAGCAAAGACCTGCACTCTTTTTAAAGCCATCTTAGAATGTATATTGGGCTTTTTTTCCCTTTATTGATATGCTTTTAGGTAATTTTTAACGTTGGTTTTAAATCAAATTATGTACTGTATTTTGCTCTGTTGCAAGCTGCCCCGAGCCCTGCTTGCAGGGAAGGGTGGCCTAGCAGATCCAATTTAATAAATAAACAGACAGTTTGGTGTCGTGGTTAAGTGCGTGGACTCTAATCTGGGAGAACTGGATTTGATTCCCTACTCCTCCACGTGCAGCTGCTGGATGACCTTGGGCAAGCCGTTCTGGCAGAGCTGTTCATGAAAAAGAGCAGTTTCTCTCACTTGGGCCCACCTACCTCACAGGGAGTCTGTTGTGGGGAGGGGAAGGGAAAGAAGTTTGGAAGCCGCTCTAAGACTCCGAGTGAAGGGCCGGGGTATAAATCCAATTTCCTCTTCTTCTTCTCTAATATATTTGTTACACGTAGACATAAATTGTTGGGGGAGGCAATTTTGCATTGAACCCGGGGATAGAGAATGAAAAGCCTTCTTCTGGTGCTCCTCCCAGTCCATTTTTGTTTTTTGCCTTGTTCCTTTTTCAGATAGAGGAGAAGAAGCAAATGGATGAGTTAATAGAAAGCGGGAAAGAGGAAGGCATGAAGGTAATTAGCGCGCTGGCTGTGATAGGGATGGCTTTGCTTTGAAGTGCCATACATCTTCCAGTGCTGAGGAACTACAGATCTGTTTGTGCAGAAAGCATATATGTCGCCTATCAAGAGACCAATCGTTGATTGTCACCGAGGTGCGGTAACCTTCTCTCCGAAAAAAATAGTCATTTGCACACAGAACTTGCTTGTAGAAAGTTAGCCTGGGCTGGGACCCTTCTCCCTGACAGCTCATTTTGGCGCGTATGCGGGAAAACCTCTGAAACGCTAGAGCATTCCACCACGTGAGCTGTCATCGGCAGTCCCGAGTGGTACAGCCAAGACAAGTTACCTCCTCATGATATGATCGAGGTTTACAAGATTATGCATGGGTTAGAGCAGGTAGAGAAAGAAGTCCTCTTCTCCCTTTCTCACAAGACAAGAACCCGTGGGCACTCCATGAAATTGCTGAGCGGTCGGGTTAGAACGGGTAGAAGGAAGTCCTTCTTCACCCAAAGAGTGATGAACACGTGGAATTCACTGCCACAGGAGGTGGTGGTGGCTGCAAGCATGGACGGCTTCAAGAGGGAATTAGATAAGCATATAGAGCAGAGGTCCATCGGTGGCTATTAGCTACAAGGTATAGATAGGGACTCTCAGGCTGGGGCAAGGGAAGCTCTGTATTCTTGGTGCTTGGGAGGGGGGGACAGTGGGAGGGCTTCCAGTGTCCTGGCCCCACTGCTGGACCTCCTGATGGCACCTGGTATTTTTGGCCATTGTGTGACACAGAGTGTTGGACTGGATGCCATTGGCCTGATCCAACACTGGCTTCTCTGATGTTCTCACTGAGAACTAGACCCTTGTATGTATGAATCTGTATGTGTGAGTGCAGTCATTTAAAGGACCAAGGCGGATATTAAAGAGCATAGCAGCAATCTGTAGGATCAGAGCTGTGGATTTTCCGGTCTCCAGCAGAGATAGAAGCTGCTACTTTTTAAAGTACTGTGTCAACATTTCCTACAAACTGTAGCCATAATCCAAAGATCTCCACAACTCGTTCCGCACAGCTTTGGCCTCTTATTTCTCAAATAGCACTCATGCAGGCTGCACATAAGCTGTTTTGGGAGTTCTGGGCTGCCTTCTTGTGAACTCATAAGAATGTAAGAAGAGCCCTGCTGGATCAGACCAATAATAGTTCATCTAGTCCAGCATCCTGTCTTCACACAGTGGCCAACCAGTTCCTCTGGACAGCCAACAACAGGGCAGAGAGGCCGAGGCCTTCCCCTGATGTTGCCTCCTGGCGCTAAGATTAAGAGGCTTAGTGCCTCTGAATGTGGAGGTTTCCCTCTGTCACCATAGCTAGTAGCCGCTGATAATCCTCCATTACTTGGTGTAGTGGTTAGGAGCGCAGGTTCTAATCTGGGAGAACCAGGTTTGATTCCCCACTCCTCCACATGCAGCTGCTGGTGTGACTTTGGGTCAGTCATAAGTATTTTCAGAGCTGTTCTCTCAAGGGCAGTTCTGTCAAGAGCTCTCTCAGCCCCACCCACCTCACAGGGTGTCTGTTGTGGGGAGGGGAAGGGAAGGGATAATGTAAACCGCTCCGAGACTCCTTCGGAGAGTGAAGGGCGGGGTATAAATCCAATCTCTTCTTCTTCTTCTCTCTATCTAATCCCTTTTAAAGCTGTGGCCATCACTACATTATATTGGAGATCTTACTGGCTCTGCAGATTTTTAAAAAGTTGCTTCAGCAGCATCCGCCACCACAGACGTAACTCCTGTGGGATGAGAATGAACCCTTCTTCCTCTGCAGGGCCTGTTAAGATCAAAGACTTCCTGGGATTTGTTGTGACATTCAGATCAGTTGCTTAAGTTGCAACCGTTGGGAGGTTTTTTTGCCCACCCGCTAGGATTCTAAATTATGGTACAATCCTGGTTTGTAATGGAGAAACAGACCACAGTGCGTTAAGACTCTTGTTTAAAATGTCGTAGCCGATTGCAGTGGAAGCCGTCAGGTCACCGGCTGCAAGGGGAACAGGGAAGGAACGGGGAAGTCTGCAGGCCTGGGAGATTTGTTATCAGACAAGCAGTGCCTTCCCGAAAGCAATCCGTCAGTGGAGACTGGCTGTTCAAAGAGATAAAGAAGTGCCATGTCACAAGTTGTTCTTTGGGGAGGAGCTGGGGCACAACTTGAGTTTCTGCAAGCTCCACTTGCAGCTGCTGGATGGCCTTGGGCAAGCCATAGTTCTGACAAGAGCTGACCTTGAAAGGGCAGTTCTTGAAAGAGCTCTCTCAGCCCCGCCTACCTCACAGGGTGTCTGTTGTGGGGAGGGGAAGGGAAAGGAGTTTGTAAGCCGCTCTGAGACTCCCTTGGGTAGTGAAGGGCGGGGTATAAATCCAATCTCTTCCTCTTCTTCTTCCTCTTCTTCCTCCTTCTTTATTTTCTTCTTCTTCTCCCTGCCCCCGCAGATCGACTTCATTGACGGCAAAGGGCGAGGGGTCATCGCCACCAGACATTTTAACCGGGGAGAGTTTGTGGTCGAGTATCATGGGGATCTCATAGAGATCACGGACGCCAAGAAGCGAGAAGCGTTGTACGCCCAAGACCCATCCACTGGCTGCTATATGTACTATTTTCAGTACCTAAGCAAAACGTACTGGTAAGTGGGTATTTTTGCCCCACCCACCCCTTTCTTCTCTTATCTTGCGAAGTTAATTTGTGAAGGACGGAATAGGATCCCTTTCCCCCGGATGTCTGACAACAGCGGCACCGAATTAATGTCTTTGGGGAATGGAATGGAGGAACCTGTGGTAGTTTACTTTTAGAACGATAGAAGCCACCGATTGGTTCTACCGCAGAGATAATAGCTGTTCTGGATTGGAATTCTCCTAAGAAGAAGTTCAACTGAATCCAGAAACGCTTCTGGCCCTCAAGATTTTTTAGGACAGTGGGGATTTCAGGGTGTCAACGTTCAAGTCAAATCTCCCTTTGTCAGGTGAAGTAGAAGCAGTGCCCTGAGTCCTCATGTCCTAGTCAAAAGGTGGGAGTAAGAAAGAGCGGGATCTCGTCCAGTAGCACTTTAAAGACTAACAATAATAAAAATAATAATAATATACTTTATTGTCATTGTACATAGTACAACGAAATTAAAGGTGCAATCATTTCAGTGATCTACAGCCATACTCATATACACTCACACAACCATTCACAACCTTTGCTGCAGGATAGGAGCTTTCATGCGTTGCTGCTCACTTCTTCAGTGGGTGGGAGTGGTTTTGTACCTTTGCATTCTTTACCTTGGGTCAGTCACAAGCTCTGGCACAGCTGTCCTTGAAAAAGAGCAGTTTGTGTCAGAGTTCTCTCAGCCCCACCCACCTCACAGGGTGTCTGTTGTGGGGAGGGGAAGGGAAAGGAGTTTGTAAGCCGCTCTGAGACTCCAGGTGAAGGGCAGGGTATAAATCCAATCTCTTCTCTTCTTCTTCTTTGCAAGCATTCTTTACATGGCTGTGATCACACACACTAAATAATCCGTTTTCAGTGCACGTTCAAACGGGATTTTACTGTGCGAACGGGCAAAATCCAGTTTGAAAGTGCATTGAAAGTGGATTATTTAGTGTGTGTGATCACAGCCCATGTGTATCTTACTCAGCTTGATTAGAACAGGGGGGCATGCTTGGGGACAGAAAATCAGCATCTGTAGTGAGATAAGAACCCTTTGTCCCTGTTCAGCCCTGGGGGCATCCATTGTTCTGAACAAGCATTCAAGATCCTTTACAAGAGTTCTTTATGACACCCACCCACCATCTGACTAGGATAAAAGGTCTCAGATCTGCATTTCACTCTACTGTGTCTGGCAAAGGGTGTTTTGACTCTTGAAAGCTGACACCCGGGAACTCTTGTGTACCTCTGGGGTGCTCCTGGACTCAAATCTAATTGTCCTACTGCACACCAACACGGCTAACCTCTGAAATAATGTTTAACTAACCTACCCATGCATGCTGTTATGTGTAAGTAATTGTAAACAAATATTACCTTCGGTTCACCACAACTTCAGTAACTGCTCGCTTGAAGATGGTTTTTATTCCCCATGGGCGAGTACGTGTTTACCATACTGAGATAATGTCTATGACCAGTGTTCCCTCTAAGCTGAGTTAGTGTGAGCTAGCTCACAGTTTTTTTAGCCTCCAGCGCACACATTTTTGTCTTTGCTCAGGAAGGAGGGCTCCAGAGCAAACTGATTTTTGGAGTAGCCAAATCGCTCGCTCACAACTTTAATGCCAGCAGCAGCTCACAGAGTAGCCTTTTTTGCTCACAAGACTCCACAGCTTTGAGGGAGCTTTGTATATGACGTGCCATAAACACCCTCTAAAGCACTTCATGATACTGAAGACTATTTCCTGTTGGCACTTGTAACTCCCTAAATCCTCCCGCTTTAATAGAGACGTTGTCCTTCCAACCGCGTGTTTGTGTTTTAAAGAGGCACAATTCCAGCTCCACAGATTCCAGTTTCTTTTAACCACGCTGTCGAGCCTTATTCTGCTGCAGCGTCTGCGCGTCTCTCTCTCCTCCGCCGCAAAGAGATCAACTCTCTTGTGCTGTTTTGTCCCCTCCTCCTTTTCTCGGACAC